GGGCAACTTGGCAAGACCTCATCCCTACAATAAATCAAAAACTAGCCGGGCATGGTAGCATGCGCCTGTAGTTCCAGCTACTTGGAAGGCTGAGGCGGAAGGATCGCCGGAGCCCAGCAGGTGGAGGCTGCGGTGGCCGGGAGCGGCCACTATACTCCAGTCTGGGCGACAGAGTGATACTCCAATTCCAAAAAAAAAAAAAAAAAGAAATTATGTTCTCTTTCAAAATTTTATGCTAGTGTTGCCTTTTGCTCTGTGTATATTCCATGTTTATTATAAAATGTATTAAGTTTAAATTATAGCAAGTGCAAAAACTTTTTCAAATTTTTTTATGAGTGGAGTTATTTTTTTTCCCGTGAAGATACCTGTGGATCTTGTGCTTTCCCATTGCTGGGCCTTTTCTAGAGCACAGCAACTCGGAGCGTGGGATGCTGTCCTGACTCAGGTATGAGTCCTCACTCCACTCACCAGCCACCTAACCTCTTGCTACTTCAGCTTTCTCAACACAAGTTTTCTTATTCTTTAAATGGATTATATTCTTCTCTTGTTTTGGTTATGGGAATTAAATGAAATAACATATGCAGTGCAGTGTAAACAGCTCAGAAACTTTGCAGCCACTATTGTCATAGTTCTATATGTATATATAGGATTTCTCAGCTTCTTAAATACTGTTGTGAAACTAAAGAGAGATAAGTTTTGGGTTGAAGACAATTATAAAAATAAGCATCTAATTAGAAGAAGTTAATGGCATAAAGTAGCATTTATCTCTCTCTCTCTCTCTCTCTCTCTCGCTCTCTCTCTCTCTCTCTCTATATATATATATATATATATTCCTAAGCATACAATCTAATGTTCATTAAATGCTTGAATAAACTTTTCACTGGCAGACGGGCATATTTTGAGTTTGTACAATTGTCCTGAGTGATCTAGAGATCCGTTAGACTTTAAATATAACTTGAGGTTTTACTATTTTATGCACACACACACACACACACACACACACACACACACACTTCTTGTGTTTATATAGAAAGTTATAAATTCATGTTTGTAATTGTATTGCATTTTTCATATTTTTTAATTGTAAAAAACATAGAATTTATGATTTTAATATTTTAGGTATACATT